CCCCCGTTCAAGCTATGTGAAAATATCCCCTGATATCATGTTTAAGTTTTTTGGATCTTGCTTACTTTTCCACTGGGCGTATTGTTCTCCTGCTATCTCAGTTTCGTATTGTTCAAGTGGTCATTAATTTGGCTTTTTTGAAATGTGATTTGATTTTCAATTAGGGTGTTGGCATTCTTTCTGATACACCACATCCTCCACATGCTTTGCTTTCTTCCTGCTTCGCTAAGTCGACCATACAAACCCCGAAAATTAAAGCACTTAGCACAGCATACCACAAAAAGGTTTGTACACCAACTTGTGAGAGTGCTCGTCTCAAAAGGAAAACGTTTGAGACAAAAAGGCAAAGGAATTTGCACTGAATCTGCTGACTACACAGGCTACAATGATCCACATGGAGTGACGCGCAAAAAACTAGGAGGATGGGCATTCTACAAAAACGGTACTGAAATACGGATTATATTAGTGTAGAATTTCCAAACCTCAAACTGGAGCACTATTGGGCTTCACTAACGCCGGAATCTATGAGGTCAGTAATTCAACAAGCGAGAACTGCGAGCAAGCAGGCGCTCTGAGCGATGACAGTGAAATGAATACACCAATGTCACATGATCTGTGGCAGTTAACACTGGGAAGTGACCTAGAGGGAATCAATCGAAATACAGTGCGTGTGAATGTTAGTCATCAGGGCCCGCAGTCATATGACAGTACGGTAATCCTGTGTGTGCATGTGTACACAGGTGTGAGGGTCCGTCGATCATGGGCATGAGTGAGGCAGGTGAGATCAACATAGAGGACAACGTAGTGCAGTAAACATACTAATGCTGCGTGTGTATGTGTAAACGGCAGGGATCAATGGGGAGATGAAATTTGTAGTTGTATTTGTATTTGTATAACTTGTGTAAGCTTATATGCTTACGTTTCAGTTAAAATGTACAGTGTTCGGCATGCGGAATGAAATATACAGTTTTATTTATCGCGCAACCTAAAGAATGTTGCTGAAGTTTAATACATTTACAAAACCTTTGACGTAGTTCACTTGCGACCTGTTCCTTTTTGGTTTGGAGTCAGGCCATATACGGTGCAGGGGGATTTTTCTAAGTGTTAACGCGAGAGCGCAGAAATCAACAACACAAGGACAAAATAGGAAACATGGATAATAGGACAGTAGTGCGGGGTGTGTGCATGTAAAGAGTGTCAATTTGAGGCAGAATTTATTCAACAGAATCACTGAAAAATTACAGAGTGTAGTGCTCACAGTGTTTTTTACTCCAAATCATCATAACAACTCATAGGGAGTTGACCATATAGCGCCTGCTGGACGGGAGTTTGCTTGACTTACAAACAGTTGTGTTCAAATACAATGTTGATTGGTCCGCCAATCAGCGCATGATACAATCCTTGAGAATGTTTTCCTAGTGTCCAGTTTCAGTCGGTGACGATTTGTCGGAGCCGAAATTTTAATCATTGTACAATCCACTGAACAGTGCGAGGCGACCTTGATGTACAACCGTATTCTCCAATCACAGATGCGTCCTCTTCAAGCACATGACTATCGTACGCGTAGTCATGTGGTTTTTGACCATGACTAGTTGGCCTTGGTCGAGTTTGTTCTTGAATTGTGTCTGTTTGTTTGGGCGACTGACTAAGTGCCTTAAGGTCGTTTGGTTCGTTTTTCGCACCACTTAACCAGATACTCATTATTGCTTGTTTTCTTTCAATTCCATTCCGAAAAGAGAGCTTAACTTTCATACAAGTATGGCCAATATAGGCACAGTCATGTGATGTCATAGAAACAGAATCTATTTCAATGGGTCGGTCAATTTCACAAGGTCTGAAAACCATGGTGTTGCATGATCGGTTATTGGTGAATTGCGCCCATATTGAATCAATCAATCACGAAACTTGCAGAGTCACCCTCGAAAGGATTAGATCGAGCTGGTTTGAATTAACCTTGACATATACCTACCTGCATGGGTTTACCGAAAGTGCGTTATCTAATATGAAAGGTATCCAATGACTTGATCAGTTTTCTTTACCCAGTGAGTATTTAGTCATTTACATCACATTATTTGTCCAACACATGATCAAGCGTAGAATTTAGTTAGTTCCGTTGGTGAGTAGCACACACTGAGGAGTTATTTGACAGATAAGCGATGATATCTAGCGCGTGTAACAATCCAGCGTATTGTTATCATTTTCATATCCCCCCGCACACACAGAGCGAACACCTAGGACAGTTTTTACGTTGCCTACATTAAGGTCAACAAAGAGCAATTATCACGTGTGTCGTTCTTGCTTTCCAACTGGTTGGTTGCACTATCTTTATTTTCCTGCTGGGACTCGAACCACAAACCGTCGGATTGGGATCCATGTGCAAACCAGTGTACGGCAAACATTAGCGCTCACAAATCCCAGATTGCAATGATGCGCAATCGGATGGTCTGATTCTAGTTGACTGCTATTCGTTTACACACTGATGCATATCAGTTTCTCGCCTTTCCTATTTGAGAAGAACCAAGCATTCAGAATCCGCGTATCTCGATTTGGCGAGGAATACCATGAGGTAATAATACTGTGTGAACTAAGAAAACAGAGCTTTTGTTTCTAATGATCTAGGGAGGGATGAGCACGTATGGTTTAAATGGAAGAAAGAAGGACACAAAAGAAATGGTTGCGTCAAAATCTATTGAGTTATTAGATCTGATGGGAAGAGTGAGTTAGTCTTCATTGGTGTAACCATGAGTGCTTCAGTGCTTGGGACCGCGTCTATAACAACGGGCAACCTTGACTATCTTCTGGAAGGACAACAGCCCAATACACTAGCATTGATTTTCAGTAATACACTTTATTATTTTGTTCGCTGCATACCGTGGTTTGTTAACTCGCCAGGTTTGCAGTGCTGAAGACCGCTATTGTTGGCAAAACTGAAGAGAGTGCTACAGACTTATGGAAAAAATCCTAAGTGTTACACAACTAATTTTGTCGAAGATATATCACACAGAATTAACGATGTCACTAATAGGAAAGATAATTCAATTATGAACTTGTAAAGTAACCTTTTAATAAATGAGCTTCGGTGTTGATCGCATTTTTATTGAATGTCCGAATACTTTACTTTCGGTTTGTGTGCTTGTAGGTACGGCTTTGAGCAATTAGATAGGCTTATGCGTGATTTCTGGTGGATCTGGGTCGGGATCTGTTTCGCTAACATTTAATCCTCAGTCTAAGCTCATAAAGCTACTCCTTCTTGGTTCTGTGTTCCTTTCAGAAAGATTCCGATTGTCCGTAGCCCTCTGCTGCTGTCTGTTTGATTTCCTAGTCGGTAAATAACCAGGAAGTCAAGACATTATATTCTTCTTTTCGAGAATTCCATTTATTGACCGGGATGAGTGCAAAGTTAATAAGAAATAATTTCTGTCTAACGGGCGTGTCACAAGGATACAGGACAAATTTTGCGGACCAAACGAAAAACGATGAGATTTCAAAAGGCACGAGAACTACTTCGAATCGAGCGGACAAGTTCGAAAAGATTAGCGGATGGAAGAACAGCTTTGCGTATATCAAATTCTCTGACTTACCTTCAGTAACCTTTTTCAAATCAGCGGCACAAAATGCAATCCGAATACGCAAGTGTGTTCCCTCACAGTGGCTCGCTCATTCTGCACGTCAGTCAACTTAACCCAACAAATTCATTTACAATAGTGACTACTCACAAGTAGGTAAACTTTGAATGATAAAATATTCACGATGCACGCCGCAGCGTAGTCATGGTGTATTGTATTGTATTGTAGTGTGGTGTTGTATTGAAGCTTAAGCGGGTTATATACAAGCTTTCAGCAAAAAAGAGATCACCATCACAATGCTGTAGAAGTGTTGGGAGGAGTGCAGCATCAAGTGTGTAAAAATGTAAACAAACTGCTGAATGCATTAGAAGGCTCAGAATGCACACTCTACATTTCGATAAGCATTGGGGTAAGATAGAACACCGAAGAGTTTCTGTAGACAGATATCTGAGATGGTATGAGTTTGTGGTTTTTCTATGGTAAACACATCTACTTGGAGTCCCAGCAGCCTAAATTGAAATTCAGCAAGCTATTTTGATTCAGCATTAATATCGACCTCATTTAAACGAAACATAAAGCATTGTAATCAAGTAGGCAGTTCGGGCACTTACTATAATACCAGTAGTCGCATTAAGTTTTAAGGTGCACGAGCCCAATGAAATCATTGAGTGCGCTAGTGAGACATCTTTATTCTCCAACTTTTTCATGTAGCGAAGTATTTCAGTTTCCGAATGATGACTATTGAATACTGGTTGAGAAAGGATATGATCCGTTCGCAATGTGTTTGTTGCATTCCAGAGGCTCAGGCTGTTGGAGATCTGAAACAGAAGAAAACGAGGCAAGAGAACTTTTTGGTAGAAAGAGCTATCTCAACCCATCAGAAATTATTGAAATTCATTGTGGATGTTTTGAATTCAAAATGGGAAAATAACGAACAGAAGTCGGCACGATTATGTGTTGAATTTGATCAAACCAACACGTTGAAATGTTCGCCGAGTGTTAATTAAAAGGAAAAATGTAGTCATTTTGATACCCACAGAATTGCAGTAGTAACATTTTGGCGATTCGACTTTCTATCATAAGCGTGGTTCAGTCCTTCGGAGAGTGGACTGAAATCCTATCACCACTTATGAGTTTTGGTGGAAGGCAGATGCATCTAACTCAGTACTGTATCTATAACGATGACACTGTTTAGTGAATTGAGTTGACCATTTTTTAGACATCACCTTCACATACAACCCTCTGTTCTTTCAGTCAATTATGTCCACTGGGAGACCTGATTTGGTGAGAGGTTTTCAAAGTCAAGGTCAAAGTTTTATTATGAGCATTACTTACAAACAGATGCTTTTCTTGTCCCATAGGGTGTTAACACGAACTGAACTCGAACAGTGATGAATAAAATTCCATATGATGTATTCTATTGTGTTCTGTGTACTCATAGATATTGGAATGCAATATGTGTTAATGATTCGTCAAGTTTTCCTTAAAAGAATCAATCGTCTTGGCATAAACAACATGAGATGGTTAGGAATTCCAGGCAGTGCACATTCTGACGGGGAAGAAATGACGTCAACAGTACAGTCACGATTTTTGGAGTATTAACTTGAATGGATGTCCCCGTAGATGAACGTTTGATGACAGCGTCAAAATTCGGCAACAACGGTGGTTTGAGTTGTTGGTACACTCAACTTAAGCATCCTCGAATCCGACGATACCGAGCAGAGTATAGGCCCAATGACTGCAGTCTCCCCATATATGAATCATATTAGAGTCCTTTGTCCATCTTCGTGGTCAGCCTTTGTGAACACTCCAAAATATTATGATCACGTTGTAACCATGGGTTCCAAGTTCGGATGACATACTCAATATGCGGCCGAATGTTTGCTGACAGCAGACGTGAGAATAAAGATGATTCAAAACGACTGAAAGCACGTTTAAGTAGACCGACATGTTTGAGTGCTGTTGATGACGCCCCGGCACAGTTAACAGAACAGCTCAGGTCTTCGTGGACTATAACACCCAGGTCCTTCTCTGTTGATGCATGAGGCATTAAATCGTTTCCGAGGAAATAAAGAAACCACCCATGATGTCGTAGCGAAATCACCTTGCATTTGGAGACGTTAAATTGGATGTCATTCTCATTAGGCCAATTTTGAACTGCATTCAGTGTTTCTTGGAGTTCCAGCTAACCCCCACTTTTGATCACTGTCTTCCAGATTTTGATTTCGTCTGCAAACAATAATGTTTGTGGTCCTAGGACATTCGGTTGTTTATGAAAACGTTGCGGATTGAGCACAGAACCCTGGGAGACTCCGCGAGAAACGGCGACAGGGGCGGACAGTGAATTAGAGACTCGAACCAACAAGGTCCGTTATTGGAGAAACGCGGCAATCCAATCAAGTGCGAGGTCTGTGATACCAAAATTGTACAGTTTACGGAGCAGTATTTCGTGGTTCACCCGATCGAACGCTTTGGAGAAGTCCAGGTAAACCACATCAACTACATCGTCTTTGTCTACTGCCTTTGTCCATTCATCGCGGGCCAGGAACAGATTAGTAATACATGATCTCTTTTGACGGAATCCATGCTAAGCCGGGGAGAGGAGGTCTTATTTCTCTGAGTGTTCCATCAAGAAGCCCGCTGCGATGAATTCCATGACTTTGGATAGAACGGGTAGGAGTGTCACCAGGCGGTAGTTGGTAGGATCACTACGACAGCCGCCTTTCTAAATTGGAGAAATTATGCCTTGTTTCTAGTACTAGAGCAGCACGGCTGCGTCAGACATGCATTGGCAAAGAAAAGCTAGTGGCTCAGATATGTGATCCGTTAACGCAGTAAGCGGTTGAGAATGTAGATTGCACCTGGAGCCGAATACTTACTTAGACCCAGAAGCTTTGATTCCACTCTGTCGGCATCAAGGTAGTCAGTGGTGGATTTGGAAGAAAAAGTATCCAACGAGGCAGCCGCAGTCTCGCNCAGTCTCGCGTTGTTGGGTATGTGAAAGACTTGGGCTTGATTGGTTTTTCAGTATATGGTCAGAATATGGTCGATAAAGGTGAATCTGATTTATGTTTGTTACCTATCTGAAACCGTTCGAAGGACTGGAGGTTAAATCGTAAACTGACAGTGATTCCTGTTATACCCTTGAAACGTTCGTAGGTAAATCCAATGACCGACATTTCATACCCGGCTGCCATATGTCCACTATAACAACCGTCATACACGAAAATTCACCTTGCCAATCACACTTCTGTTCATATTATGGATCGGCAGACAAACCCTTTTGCATGACGATCGCATGCATTGGATGAAACCAAAAAGCGTAACAATCCAAGGCCTAGTGTGAATTCTGGAACATTCAAGAATCAAGCACAAATGACCATTGAGTTTTTGATTAGAAACCTCTCATTCGAAGACAAATTTACGTCTTAGAAGCAAACACGGCAGGAATAAAACCCGCTGATCACCGGGTAAGCCGGTATGCATATTTTCAAACAGCCAAGCTCCTTTGACCATGTTGTATTAGATATTTGTATGGAACTGCTATCACATGGTTGCACCGAATCAGCCAGTCACTAAAGTGCACTTGATTTGGATTGCAAACCAGACTCTGTCCAGATCCTCGAGGGGTAGCACACTCACCTCAGAGCTGGAAGCGGGAACGTTGAACACGTAGAGCAAATCGGAAAAATCCTGTGTGGTAACAGTCTCATCCAAAGAGAGCCCAATCTGGAATAAGGTTTGTAAAACAAAAATAAATTGATCAAAAAGGTCGTTGAATAGTTCCAGTCTTTGTGGAGCACGTAGTAGTGACCAAAAAGATAAAAAAAAGTAATTAGCATACTTCTCAAACACGTGTCTGGACGCCTGTTACCGCAATTGCAGAATGCATCTCATTGAGTAGTAGTAGTTTTAAAAGTAGTTTAAAAGTACATCTGTGGCGAACAAGATTTTTTATTGCTTTGACTAACGATCACATGGTAATGGTCAAAGTCAAAGTCAAAGTTTTATGGAAGGAATCAAATAGAAGCTTATTCTTCTCTTCCCCACACAGGATATTTACACAACATAGTTCCGGGTAGAATACAACACATAATGTAGTCTTCAATAAATTCGCATGTTTTAGTTGTGTAGGAATGTGAGGTTATGCCAGGGTTTCATCACGTCCCTGCTTGAAAGATTCAATAGCTGGTGCACAAACGACGTGAGATGGAAGGATGTTGCAAGTAATGCACACTCTGAGTGCAAAAGATGGACGTCGACAAAATCAGAACTTTGGAATCAGTAACTTGGAACAATGATGCCCAAAGTGTATATTGGGCGACAACTTGAGCAGCAGCCGACATGGATGGTTTGGGTTCTGGATTATTTGATACCTCGAAATCAAGTTTCCTAGAAATCGGAGGTTCTAGGCAGAATATAGTCCCAATAATGCTAATCTCTCCTCATGGTTGAGGTCATGCAATCCCTTGACCATCTTGGTGACATCCTTTTGTGGACGCTCCAGCATCTTGTGATCACAATGCAATCATAGACTTCAGGCGTGGATGGTGTACTTTGTGTACGGTCGAATGTACACTGATAGCAAACGTGGGAATAAAACTGATTCAATTCAACCAAAGACTCGCCTAAGCAATCTAACGTTCTTCACAGCAGCGGACGAAGCCTTGGTGCAATTGATAGAGCAGCTTAGGTCCTTTTAAACAACTACACGTAAGTCTTTTCGCACGAAGTATATGGCAGTCGCTGATTTCCGAGGAAATACGGGAATCTAATCTTGTGGTGAAGGGATAGAGCTTTGCATTTAGAAAGATTGAATTCATTATCGCTCTCCGCAGACCATTGATAGCCTGCGTTAAGTGTATCTTGAAGTGTGTTGAATGAACGTGACAAATTTCCTATTTGATAAATCAGAGTTTCCCAATTTCTAGGTTGGAATCACAATGCGTGATGGGCCACATTTCAAGTGCCTACAATTTCCTTCGTTCATCTATACTCGATCATCACGCAGGGTGTTGGCTATCCATCAGCAGCCACCGGCACGTTTCACTCAATGATAAGACGATACTCGTGGAAAACATTGCAAGACGTGAGCTGATCATCAGCGCTCAAAAATGAAATATGTTGTGATCCTAAGGACAGAATTGATGACGTGTTATCGTCAGTGCGAATTTCCTCCATTTTATTTCCACACAATATACAGAAGCATTTTAGTAATAAACAAAAATTCCAAACCTATTATTTAAGTTATCTACTCGAACTGGACGAAATCAACTCTCTTGACCATTTGCTTTAATTGCCACTTATTTACGAGAACACCGATACAGGATTATGAGAGATAGAACATCCATACAGACTCAAGATGCCTTTCGGGCTATTCTACTTGATCCATGTTTCGCTCCTGTATTTGCTACGTACGTGATCAGGGAAAGTCAGAGTGGCTTTTTATCAATCAGGTTATTTTGGCCACATGGTTCATTTTAATTCGTCACTTGCACAATGATAAAGATGAAAAATATTAAGACCCCCACTTCAACTGGACACTTTAAATTAATCGAAAAGCAGAGGCTTCTAAGTCCACAATATGGCATGCATTGGTCAAGAGCAGTACCAAAATTAGTTCCGTAATAGGTTATTTACCATGTTAAAAAGAATAATATATTTTGGTAAAAGTAATAGATTCACGTATTTTCAAGAAGTGAAACCAATCAAAAGTGCTCACAGATGACCAATAAATAGGAACTGACCGATTGTCCATCCTCAAAGTAGCGCAAATTGATCCGTTTCTCCGCGGCTCGTTTCTTCACACCGTCGAGCCCACCGTGTTTCGCGGTCGGTTTCACTTTAATTGTGTCGAAAACAGGATGTGTGTTGAACACCTGAAATACGACACAGTCATTCGTTTCTGCGGTCACGGATGATTGTTTGGCGCGGTTTTGATAGGATAACATTACCTGAAGTATGCTTTCAGTTTTGAGCTATTGACAAAATACAAGTAACTAAACTAGTTATGCAGAAAACAGCCCCGACGGATTTAATTCTTCAGTCGGCATTTGTCCTTGGGAGGATAAGTGTGGGCCTCCAATCACATTGTTGGCTATATGGATTCCAATGGGATGGCAGTGGAGAATAACCAAGTAACCAAGAATGTCACTTTCCAATGGCTTTTCGATAATAAGAATGAATTTAAAGCTATTTTTCACGTAGGCCTGCGTTTCCGGAAATCAAAAAGCATAGTTAGATAATCTTCAACACCACGCACTCATCCACATGGAAGGATGAACGAACAAACGATTGATAAAAATGTAAACAGTGCAATAAACAAGTTTTAAATAATTTCCAAATCCAGTTTTTCAATTCTATTATCAAATAGAGTAGTGCACACTAAATTGTTACCATATGATGGCCATTGAAATACCGCCAGTTTTTCTGCATGGAAAATCATACAAACAGATAAACGGTAACATACTATTTACATGGTCACCAGATGCGGTAGGTTGAATAAACATTTTTACCAGTCTCGTTAATGAAACTCCACAAAAAAATGATGGAAACAGGAGGCCGTGTGTTCCTATAAACAGGACAGTGGCAAAGCTTCATCACTTTAGTACCAACAACCCTGTCGCGTTCATTAGTTCCGAATCTTTTCATCAGAGTTTAGAAGGATATGCGTAGCTGTCCATATGGAATTCGCAACGAGTGCTTAGAAGGTGTTGCACTCAAATAATTACTCGAAAATCTTCATGGAATAACTCATCCGATTTTCTGCCCACGAATCACCCAGCACTCAGTGAATTGTCTTCTAAGGAAGGTCCTATCATATTCAAAGTCCAGAATGAAAACTTTGGGTTGCTTACAATGCTGTTAAGGTTTGTTTGTTAGCGCGTGCACCGTCCGTTCCTTTAGCCCCAATTAAAAAGCATGAGTCACTGCCCTCAAGGGGTCATCTTACCTATCCCATCATTTGTGTATGCAGTTAGGCGCCCATTGGCCATACAGAGGCAGGCGTCCTAAGATGCTAGATGTAACATATGGATTCGTTCATCAGTTCCTATTAATCGGCCGATCACGTGATACGGCAGGTCATGGAGACCGTTTTGTCCGTGAACCAACTTGACCTAGTTTTAGGTCGCTGGTTAATCATCATTATTCATTGAATCATTAACCCAGTTCCGATCAGCAATTGGTCTTATGAGTTCCGATTTATTGCGTTGGCTTACGAGTCCCTGACAATACTGTGCATTAGTGTCGCGATTGGAATGCAGTCTTAACATGAACAAAGGAATATGCCCTCTACTGGTTGTCCGCTGCACACTACAAAACAACAGGCCCAATGGCCCGGCACTTACTCTTCGCATCTGATCAAGTTGTCTCTATCTAAAACGTTTCAGGTTAGTTATCACCTACTGTAGATTTGGGATCCATCAGTTTCTTGATACCGTGCAAACTAACCAGACTACCAATTTTTACCCAGAGAGGTTCAACTGTCACGCCACACTTTCCTTGGTTTTCCAACCAGGCTAAACAGATTAGCTGCAGAAACTGACAAATTCCTAAATGTATTTTTGCTTATGATTGAGTCTTAAAGATCCTATGCTGTTAGGTATAACGCGACTGAAAAAAGTGTACGAAAAAGAATTACTCTGTTGAGGAATAAGAGTGAAAAATATTCCAATTTAACTTCGTTTATTAAATAAAAAACTAAATATTATTTGTTTTTTCCCATTCTAAAAATCTTATTCACTTTTACACATACACACAAACAATTCGGATGCAGTCCGTCATTATTCATTATTATTATTCATTATTGGTGACGAATAAGAGTGGCAAATACCGGTCAGTGAACCATAGAATGACAATAAGTTACAAATTTGAACACTTTCACGATAGACGTTTTCCTGCGTCAGTTGCGTCAAACGCGCATGCGCATGCCTCNAACCCCCCCCCCCCCCAATACTCATTATAGCACATAGCATAAACGGGACATGGGATACGTCCACCCTCGCTCCCCCTGGGATGCACGTTTAACTATCATACCTCGTATCCATCACTTTGCAGCGCATGCAGCAGCCGTATCGTGTTTCGGTGCACCCGTTGCGCAATTTGCTTCAGACCGTGCGGGCCATGGTACACGGCATAGAAGCTGGCCATGTTGGCTAACAGAGCTTGTGCGGTGCATATGTTACTCGTGGCTTTGTCCCGACGGATATGTTGCTCGCGCACCTGCATTGCCAATCGCAGAGCTGGTTTGCCATGGGAATCTCTTCATTAAGGACAGAAAGGGCGACAGAGAGAGAGAGAGCGAGAACGGGAGGTGTGGGGTAAATGAATCGGTTGGATGCAGAGCTGCGCACAGATATGCACTCATGAGCTAACCCCCTACCGGTTTGTATTAAGCGTCAGGCAATGTTGTACAGGCTGGTCTTGAAGTAAAGCAGCCCCATCCCTTCAGTTGGAACAACAAAATTTGATAAAATTATTATTAATAAATTGTTTCAATTAATTTTGGGAAATGATTGAAAATAAACCCCCAGTGAGAAGTGTAGAAGCCGAGAGATTAGATACGGGTGCGTGAAATCGGTTATTCTAATACTGGGTCGTGGAGATAATGATCTAGATCACTTCATGAATAGATGTTAGAACTGAACCACGAAACTCACGGAACTCATAAAGAAGTTTTGGGAATGACCTGCAGTTGAGGGTCGTAGCCAGTGAACATTAAATATACAGATGCGGTAGTTTGAACCATTAGCCTTATTCAAACCACATTCTATTTTCATTCATCTGGTTCGAAGATGATTAGACCTGAAATTGTGGCTTCTTGGTCTTCAATATTAAAGTGACACTTTCGGTTGTTGTATTGGCAAAGTTCGCCAGCTCCTGCATTCAAATATCAGAAGATTGTTGTGTTTGGGTTAGTTATTTTTGTTGTTCTACAGAAACCAGACAAGATGTAGTCTTTCGGGTTTAGTTCAGTATGGTTCACTGGTTCTGCGCATTTCATTACACAGGATTATATCGTGTGATGATGCTTATCAACGAGCACTGAATAGTTGCGTCGTTCGTGTTTTTGCGTCCTTCTGGGGATGCGAACCTTTGGGTTGTGATTCAAACCCCGTCATCGTTGAGCTACCGTTCTCATCACAAGTAAACAATACGTGGGATGCTTACTGAAATCAGACTACTGTGTTTTACTCCTTCACCGGTTTCTGCATGCGGGTGTGTTTGTGTGATTACACTCACTTAGAAATTCCAATCACTCGACCGGGCATCAGACGAACCAAATCCTCCTTTGTAGCAAAAAATGCGGCATGTGGACCACCAAATCCGACGGGAACACCAAATCTTTGCGACGATCCGATCGCAATATCTGCTCCAAGTTTTCCCGGAGACTGAATCATGATCAGTGCTAAGAGATCTGTGGCCACCACGCTCAGAGCCTTCAAATAGGGAATTTAAAATTTTAAAAGCTCATATCAATGTTCAATTATAAAATGAATCCTATCTAATTGAGATATTCTAGAAAAAGTAAACTGTAAAATCATCTTGTATGCTATCAAGTCAGCACAATGATTTTTCTGTAGGAGAAAATAAAACCTACATCTAAGATCATGGGCAGTGCCGCCCGCTTCATGTCACAGTGACTTCAAAATCCGAAAAAAGTTGTCCATCTGTTGGAAAGAATGGTTTGGATTGAATATGTACCCAGTACGGACGAATTCAGTTAACGGTTTTTAGGTTTGTATTGAATGAACGAACGTGTCCTTTGTTGTTCAACCCTCCTTACTGGATCGACAAATATGGATTCCGCTCTGATAAAACAGGATTGACATACTTAATTTGAACAGAGAGATTGCTGCAATTTTGTCGTATCGCCGCCAGCGGCGAAAAAATCTAAGGCAAGCCGATATAGTGTGAAATATGTTTTTTAGTTTATAAAGCAGTGAATGGTTAACTTTCCCTCTTCTCAATTCACTGTTGATCTCAGTATGCGGCGAACTTCATGGTGTGTAGAACAGTAGAAGTATGAACTAAAACGTTGTACAGCTGGTTCCACCCGAATGGTTAGATTTTACTGTACTGTATGGAAGACAGCCATGGTGGATGACGCAGATTGTTTATGTTCGGTGTACTGAGTTCAGTGGGGTCAGGGATGCACACATGTGTGGGGGATCCAGAGGTCTCGTCGATTAAAGACCTTCGATCATGTGACTCTGGTTACGGGTGGGTACTGATCGCTACCAGTGCTGAGATGCTTTAACTGTATCATTAAATGGAACGCTCAATGGACTTATAGGCTTCCTGTNGCGAAATTTTCACTACGAATACAGGACAAATTAGTGAATGTTGATAAAAAGCTCAGGGATACAGATGTTGATTCATTCGTTATCTGAAAAACAGAAAGTTCCGGTCATTTGGTCGTCTCTTCAACTTCTCACTGCCATTGAAATATCATTTCTCGGGAATGTTTCATGGAACACTCGCAAATAGAATAACTTCGAAACCGCTAGTCAGTACTTCGTCATATGTTCGATGTGCTGTGCTTTCCCCACTTGTATAATTGACAGTTTTGAATAATCCACCTGTTGTTTCTCCGACCAAGATGACTGAATGTATTGATGCTGTGGTGCAATGTCAACTGATCTCAAATCGTTCTGATATGACATAATTTTCTGAAAGGTTTATCGTGAGTATAAATACTTTCAGATCAATCAATCTATAGTCTTCAAATAAACTCCTAAAAATCTTTCAAATACAATAGCAATCTTTCCCCACTTGAGTTTCTAATGGAACTCTGTCATCATCTCCGTTTCCAGAACACATCCTGGAAAATAGCCAGGAATCATCATAGGCCTGTGATGGCAAATACTACATCAGTTATACTTCCACAAATGCACACACAAATTGAGCCAATTTTTTGAGGGTGAGGAACGAGTCCGTGAGCACCACCCGGTCTGGTTGAATAGTGGAGCAATTAAGATTATCAACAGCTAGATCGTTTCACACTTAGTGGAATCAGAACACGTGGTTAATGTGACCGAGGCGTTTCGACCCCTCTACTTAGTTCGCAGCTACCGATCTAAGAGAATTAGGAGTCGCATTCTGGCCACAGCGGAAGCGATAGGAATCCACCTATATACCTCCCTCTCAAAGCTCAGAAAAACGATTCGTATGAGCATTCGGTCTTACATGGCCCACACTACACACGACACAGCCATCTCCCTACTCACCCATAATGATCCGAACCAGTGCGCATGTATGAGGACCCAAGTGTGAGTAGCATCCGGTCATAGAACTGAAATGTTCCTTTTTCAACTGATCGATAGTTGTGTCAGCTGCACATGGCATATTTATGCATCTTCCAGATCTCCATTTTTCAGTTAGTTTCTAAGTCTCATTTATTATATAGTTAAGGGAATTTTGTAATCAATCCTTCATCGGGCAATATTGTGATCACGCCAGGTTTTAAAAATTAACAGCCTTTGAAATGTTTCACTCGTTCTACGGTGTGCCCTCTTACAGAATTGGATGTATTTTGTTATCGAAAGTTTCATATCAGACTGAATCCTTCAATTCAAATCTGTCAAACAACAATTTGGACAATTACCCTTGCCTTATAAGTTCATTGGGTGGACTTCGGTGAATTCTAAGAAAAACCTGTCGGGGCAGTCAGCTTACGTGCAAACTGGTGAATGCCATATGCCTCTGTAAATTGGATGGGTAATTCAAATGTGAAAGGATCCATGCTATCGGTGTGGCCTTGTAACTCAGTTGATAGGGCGTGCGCGTAAAAAGAGTGGGCGGCGTTTACGCTGGGGTTCGAATCCCACCGAGGCTACACAATCTCGACATAAAAACTTCAAATCTGCCAAACAATTATTTTATTATTGATGATAGGTATCTTCGCTGTCATCCAACTCAGTACCATATCGGACCTTGTGAGACCTCAAGTGAGTCGTCAACCGGACTCCGGGAGTCAATGTTGCCCAACTTGAACGGTATCGCAAACTGCCTACCTACTCACTACCTACCCACCTGTTTTTTTGTATGTGAAGAAACGTTGACTACCACATGCCGTGACGCACTTCAGAGCGGAACCCCGAGCTCGCAAAATAGCCAAGTTACCACTGATTAAACCAAAAGATTTGTGGTTGTTGTAGATGTTTGTTGATGTACTGTGGCACAGAGAACGTACCGGTACCGGCTAACGAAAGTTTGTGTTAAAGCACCAAGGCACGAGGACCAACGAGCGCGATAGCGAGCAAAAGAGATCGAAAGTGAAAAGTGAAGGTTCTCTCGCGGAAGGATGTATTAGTTTTCGATCGTATAAAACAAACGTCACATAGCGTTGGTACTGAAGTGAAAATGTGAGCATACATTTAAATTGTAGAGGAAAATTGATGTCCGGCAAAAGTCTGCCATGGTCCGGTTTTCACCGCACCATCGGGCACACTACATATGCATAAATGTACGCATAAATGTGGTACCGGTTCGGTTACTGCAGTCCAATCCATCGCGTTCGGTGTCGTGACCTCATATTATACAGTGTTTTTTGTATGCGTTTTGACTTAATAAACGAGCACCTTAGTAGCGAGCTAAACTTATACGAGATACACCGTCGTACGCTAGTTCTGTTTCTGTCTAGTTATGGTACAAGTCTATTTTACAGTAGAACACACTTTTACTTTTGGTTACATTAAACTGCTGAATGGAAAGGGGTTAGTAATAGCTGACCGAATGAATTAACATTTGCGCGCTAGGAATAAATCCGGAGGATATGCAGTTAAAAAGGATTTATGGAATCACTAAATGACATCATGCTCTGGAGCGAGAAAAATTGTTTACGGAGGTACCAACAGAAAGGAAGAGCCATTTCGTTTTCATTTGGACGCCTCAGCAATGAGTATTATTTTTGTAAGTCTGAAACGCCTCGGCTTGACAGTCTAAACCCTTTTTACCTCGGAGCTGCAGCTGAAATCCTGAGTACGTAGCTGTGTTCGGCATGAATGTGTCACCTTCAAAGTGTAATATGTTGCTTTAGGACTGGGTCGGTCGAGCTCTCAACCTCACCCTTACCGGAGAAGTAATAGAGGAATTAAACAAAATACAGATAGACTTTTGGTGTTCAACACCACTATACGCACCGTATTAAATGAATCTGATGGGTATACTGGACAAGGAATGCTGAGGTTGTGTGCTGGATTTTGGGTATCCACAGTCGCCCACTGGAAGCAGTGCTCAGAATACGTCGGTTGATGTAACGCATGTCATCAAATAGATGCAGGTAATTAGTGGCAAACTGTGAAGGGTAGTCAAACTAAGATCTGGTATGAGAGTAAAATATTCACATTGTTCGCCTTAGACTCCGTGGGTGGATCCACCGAGATCAGTGTAACCGACTGTTAGAAATGCTGAGTATCATTAACCGTAGCGCTCGTGCATCTACGCATCGTCACTGTAACCGTAGTCTTCATGAATTCCTTGTTTTCACCTTGACTTTGATTTGAACGGTAAAATCTTCCCTTTGTTCAATCAGGACAAAGGTGGCCAAGAAACAGAAAGTCTATGTTTGTAGAAACAGAACTGCACTGAGCGTAGCTGTATTAACAAACCATATTACTGCGCTAAACAATGCAGGTGAATTGCATCAACTCCAAAACGGCAATCTAGTGCCGTATGCGAGCTATTGAAAAATATTCCTTCACATAAAATTTGAGACGGGTGAGGGGGAAAACAAGCACTCGGTGATTAACGCCCATAAAAGGATGACAAAAACAACAACAGCAATAGCAGTGCCGTGGTATCTGTTTATTTAAAATGAGATAAAAATAGGTATAGCTTCGATGTTCACTCACTTTGTTCTGCTTGCAATGCTCAGATACCTGTCTCACCAGGTCCGGATACACATTCCCCTCGGTGTCTGGATACTGCATAAGACAAGCTGCACACTGACCGGACGATAATTCTTGCTTCATCTGAGACATGTTGTTGAAGTCCATCACTTTGACCGTGAAGTTCAAGCCTCTGATGGATGGCAATAACGGAATAACACATCATACTGTCAATTAGAGCAACGATGATGCAGAGATACCAAGTGAATCATGGATCTGAGAGTCGAGATAACTCTGTAGTAGTGTTTTGAGTTCAACCTCAACATGGATCAATGCGCAGGGTCTAATTCTGACACATCTTTGCCATAACAGCTTTTTAACTCAACTGTCAATATCACGTTCAACTTATGTGTTAGTTCCTGGGAAGAGAGTACGAAATGATTCTGACACACCTGAGTACCCAGCTCTTGCCACTCTCTCTCTCTCTAAACCAACAGTGATTTCTGAACCTCCAATTTTCTTTTCCGAACTCTTCAATATATAACAATTTGTCGGCCAACACAGTACCCATTGACCGTGAAGCTAATGTTGTGAGATACTGCTCACTTGTGATTAGTGATGATCAAAAATTAAGAAGACCACCGAGGGCAAATTGCTGTATCTCAGAGAATAATTATCAACTGCTACTACCCTTCGTGCGACCAGGAACTGCGATGAAATGTTTCTGATGATATTTTCGGTGTTATGTACGTCAAATTACTGATGTTCCATCTGTTACCCTCTGTAGAAACCAGAGTGAAGAAAATCCCTCCTCGGTTCGAGGCGTGACCACTATTGTTCCCCCCTC